CACTTTGTGCTCAGATGTGTGACAGGCAGTTTGGCGAAGTGATGTCGCTGGTCATTCGTGTGATCAACTTTATTGTTGCCCGAGCCTTAAATGATCGCCAGTTTAAAACACTGCTGGATGAAGATGTAAATAACTATCCTGGTCTGCTTTTGCACAGCAATGTGCGTTGGTTGTCAAGAGGGAAGGTGCTTAGCCGTTTTGCGGCTTGCCTGAACGAAATCCGGACTTTCCTTGAAATGAAAGGCGTCGGGCATCCTGAGCTAGCCGACACCGAGTGGCTCCTCAAGTTTTACTATCTCGTAGATCTGACTGAACATCTGAACCAGCTCAACGTGAAAATGCAAGGCATTGGAAATACAGTGTTATCCCTTCAACAAGCTGTATTTGCTTTTGAAAACAAGCTGGAGCTTTTCAATCACGGATCTTGAAACAGGTCGTTTACTACATTTTTAAAAACTGAGCCAATTTAAAGATGCATGCACAGCAAGTGAGCCCATTCAAAACCTTGATCTCCACCAGCTAGCTGGCTGCACATCCAGTCTCCTACAGTCCTTCAAAGCACGCTTTGGAGAATTTCGTGAGCACACTCGTCTTTTTAAGTTCATCACCCATCCAAACGAGTGTTCACTGAACACAGCCGACCTGAATTACATCCCTGGTGTCTCCGTCAGAGATTTTGAAGCAGAAGTGGCTGACCTGAAGGCCTCAGACATGTGGGTGAATAAGTTCAAGTCACTGAATGAAGATTTGGAAAGAATCACACGACAGAAAGCGGAGTTGGCGAGCAAGCACATGTGGACAGAAATGAAAAAACTCCAACCCGAAGACTAGCTGATTCTCAAAACTTGGAACGCGCTTCCTGTCACATACCACACACTGCAGCGTGTGAGTATTGCTGTATTGACCATGTTTGGATCTACGTATGCATGTGAGCAGTCATTCTCACATCTTAAAAACATCAAGTCCAACCTACGATCACGTTTAACGGATGAAAGCCTCAACGCTTGCATGAAGCTTAACCTCACCAAGTACCAACCCGACTACAAAGACATCAGCAAATCCATGCAGCACCAGAAGTCGCATTAATGGTGAGTGTTATAACAACATTATTTAAAAGAATAAATTCAGAGGCTTATTATACTGACATTTAGTTGAATTCACTTTTAAAATATATTATATGGCTCTCACTGAAATAAATTTCCAAATTTTTTGCTTTCATGGCTCTCTTAGTCAAAAAGGTTCCCGACCCCTGGTCTAGATGATCATCTAGAGGATGGTCTAGATGATTGTCTAGATAATGGTCTAGATGATTGTCTAGATGATTGTCTAGATGATTGTCTAGATAATGGTCTAGATGATTGTCTAGATGATTGTCTAGATGATTGTCTAGATGATGGTCTAGATGATGGTCTAGATAATTGTCTAGATGATTGTCTAGATGATTGTCTAGATGATTGTTTAGATAATTGTCTACATGATGGTCTAGATGATTGCTAGATAATTGTCTAGGTGATTGTCTAGATGATTGTCTAGATGATTGTCTAGATGATGGTCTAGATGATTGTCTAGATGATGGTCTAGACGATGGTCTAGATGATTGTCTAGATGATTGTCTAGATGATTGTCTAGATGATTGTCTAGATGATCGTCTAGATGATTGTCTAGAAGATTGTCTAGATAATTGTCTAGATGATGGTCTAGATGATTGTCTAGATGATGGTCTAGATGATTGTCTAGATAATTGTCTAGATACTGGTCTAGATGATTGTCTAGATCAGCGGTCTTCAACCTTTTTGGTACCAGGGACCAGTTTCGTGGAAGACAATTTTGTTTCACGGACCGGGAGGGGGGTTCATAATTTGGTCTTTCCCCCTTTTCAAAGAAGCTCTCCGGCTACGTTTCTATTTGTTACTCATGTTGGCTACTAGGGGTTAGAGCTCGTGGGGCTCACCAACACCAGGTGACTGAGACAAGCGCTCAGTGCGGGGAAGAGGCGCGGACAAAAGTGGTAAATAATAAAATAATGGTCAGGCCGCGTGCGGGCTCACCGCTCTCACCTCCTCCCTGCTGTGCGGCCCGGTTCCTAACAGGGCCACGGACCGCTACCGCTACCGGTCGGTGGCCCGGGGATTGGGGACCCCCTGATGTAATGGCTTCCCCCCGGCAGTGGATACGTCGGGATAGGATCCCCTCGCGAATCGTCGCGATTTTACCTCGGCTGTGGCGGTCCTCTCCCCCCTTTTGGGGGGGGGGGGGTGGGGGGGTGGTTTGTCGCCTCGAGCTCAAGGTTTTGTTTTGCAATCGAAAGAATCGTTTGGAGGGGGTTGAGAGAGAGACACAGACCTCCTGTAGACCAGGCGAGGTAGTCAACATCTCATAGCCACCGTGATGATGATGATGAGAGAGAGACACAGACCTCCTATAGATCAGGCGAGTTAGTCAACATCTCATAGCCACCGTGATGATGATGAGAGAGAGAGAGAGAGAGACACAGACCTCCTGTAGACCAGGCGAGGTAGTCAACATCTCCCCAGTCACCATGATGATGAGAGAGAGACACAGACCTCCTGTAGACCAGGCGAGGTAGTTAACATCTCATAGCCACAGTGATGATGATGATGATGAGAGAGACACAGACCTCCTGTAGACCAGGCGAGGTAGTCAACATCTCCCCAGTCACCATGATGATGAGAGAGAGACACAGACCTCCTGTAGACCAGGCGAGGTAGTTAACATCTCATAGCCACAGTGATGATGATGAGAGAGACACAGACCTCCTGTAGACCAGGCGAGGTAGTCAACATCTCCCCAGCCACCGTGATGATGATGATGATGAGAGAGACGCAGACCTCCTGTAGACCAGGCGAGGTAGTCAACATCTCATAGCCACCGTGATGATGATGAGAGAGAGAGAGAGACACAGACCTCCTGTAGACCAGGCGAGGTAGTCAACATCTCCCCAGTCACCATGATGATGAGAGAGAGACACAGACCTCCTGTATACCAGGCGAGGTAGTTAACATCTCATAGCCACAGTGATGATGATGATGATGAGAGAGACACAGACCTCCTGTAGACCAGGCGAGGTAGTCAACATCTCCCCAGCCACCGTGATGATGATGATGATGAGAGAGACGCAGACCTCCTGTAGACCAGGCGAGGTAGTCAACATCTCATAGCCACCGTGATGATGATGAGAGAGAGACACAGACCTCCTGTATACCAGGCGAGGTAGTCAACATCTCCCCAGTCACCGTGATGATGATGAGAGAGAGAGAGAGACACAGACCTCCTGTAGACCAGGCGAGGTAATCAACATCTCATAGCCACCGTGATGATGATGATGAGAGAGACAGAACTCCTGTACACCACGCGAGGTAGTCAACATCTCATAGCCACCGTGATGATGATGAGAGAGACACAGACCTCCTGTATACCAGGCGAGGTAGTCAACATCTCCCCAGCCACCGTGATGATGATGATGAGAGACACAGACCTCCTGTAGACCAGGCGAGGTAGTCAACATCTCACCAGCCACCGTCATGATGATGATGAGAGAGACACAGACCTCCTGTAGACCAGGCGAGGTAGTCAACATCTCATAGCCACCGTGATGATGATGATGAGAGAGACACAGACCTCCTGTAGACCAGGCGAGGTAGTCAACATCTCCCTAGTCACCGTGATGATGATGAGAGAGAGAGACAGACCTCCTGTATACCAGGCGAGGTAGTCCACATCTCATAGTCACCGTGATGATGATGATGAGAGAGACACAGACCTCCTGTACACCAAGCGAGGTAGTCAACATCTCATAGCCACCGTGATGATGATGATGAGAGAGACACAGACCTCCTGTAGACCAGGCGAGGTAGTCAACATCTCCCTAGTCACCGTGATGATGATGAGAGAGAGAGACAGACCTCCTGTATACCAGGCGAGGTAGTCCACATCTCATAGTCACCGTGATGATGATGATGATGAGAGAGACACAGACCTCCTGTACACCAAGCGAGGTAGTCAACATCTCATAGCCACCGTGATGATGATGATGAGAGAGACACAGGCCTACTGTAGACCTGGCGAGGTAGTCAACATCTCCCCAGCCACCGTGATGATGATGATGAGAGAGACACAGACCTCCTGTATATCAGGCGAAGTAGTCAATATCTCATAGCCACCGTGATGATGATGAGAGAGACACACAGACCTCCTGTAGACCAGGCGAGGTAGTCAACATCTCCCTAGTCACCGTGATGATGATGAGAGAGACACAGACCTCCTGTAGACCAGGCGAGGTAGTCCACATCTCATAGCCACCGTGATGATGATGATGAGAGAGACACAGACCTCCTGTACACCAGGCGAGGTAGTCAACATCTCATAGCCACCGTGATGATGAGAGAGAGACAGACGAAGCTGCCCCGGGTAGCCTCTAACAGGCTTCTGGGGCCAAGTGCAGTCTGTAGCAGCAGCAACACCACCACCAGCCCCGCCCCTCATCCCCCCCAGCCCCCACCGCTCCACCCCTCCCCCATGTCACCCTCCACACCCCGCCCCTCATCCCCCCACGCCTCCGCCCCCTCGTGGTCCCTGTCACGCGCTGGCGGGCGGTCACGTGGATGATGCGGGAGGGGGGGGGTGCTATGGGGGGGGGGGGGGTTGGAGCGTTGGAGGTGGGGGGGCTAGGGGGGTCACGTGCCGGCGTGGGTGGGGGCTGAGGGGGTGGATGGTCACGTGGGGGTGAGGCTGGTTGGCTTTGGCGTGGAGGGTGGGGGCTGAGGGGGGTGGAGGGTGGGGGGGATGGAGGGTGGGGGGGGTGGAGAGTGGGGGCTGGGGTGGATGGAGGGTGGGGGCTGGGGGGGATGTAGGGTGGGGGCTGGGGGGGTGAAAGGGTGGGGGCTAGAGAATCGGGGCTGGAGGGGGAAATGGAAGGTGGGGGCAATGGAAGGTGGGGGCTACGGGGGATGGAAGGTGGGGGCTACGGGGGGTGGGTCACGTGGGGGCGAGGAAGTGGAGCGAGCGAGAGAGTTTGGAGCGGTGGTGGTGGTGCAGGTAGCCAGCTGTCACTGTGTGTGTCTATGTGTGTCACTGTGTGTGTGTCTGTGTGTGTGTCACTGTGTGTGTCTGTGTGTGTGTCTGTGTGTGTGTCACTGTGTGTGTCTGTGTGTGTGTCACTGTGTGTGTCACTGTGTGTGTCTGTGTGTGTGTCTGTGTGTCACTGTGTGTGTCTGTGTGTGTGTCTGTGTGTGTGTCTGTGTGTGTGTCCGTGTGTGTGTCACTGTGTGTCTGTGTGTGTGTCTGTGTGTGTGTCACTGTGTGTGTCTGTGTGTGTGTCTGTGTGTGTGTCTGTGTGTGTGTCTGTGTGTGTGTCACTGTGTGTGTCTGTGTGTGTGTCTGTGTGTGTGTCGCTGTGTGTGTCTGTGTGTGTGTGTCACTGTGTGTGTCACTGTGTGTGTGTCTGTGTGTGTGTGTGTGTGTCACTGTGTATATGTCTGTGTGTGTCACTGTGTGTGTGTCACTGTGTGTGTCTGTGTGTGTGTCTGCGTGTGTCACTGTGTGTGTGTGTCACTGTGTGTGTCTGTGTGTGTGTCTGCGTGTGTCACTGTGTGTGTGTGTCACTGTGTCACTGTGTGTGTGTCACTGTGTGTGTCTCTGTGTCACTGTGTGTCACTGTGTGTGTGTCTGTGTGTCACTGTGTGTGTGTCTGTGTGTGTGTGTGTGTCACTGTGTGTGTGTCACTGTGTGTGTGTCACTGTGTGTGTCACTGTGTGTGTGTCTGTGTGTGTCACTGTGTGTGTGTCACTGTGTGTGTGTGTCACTGTGTGTGTGTGACTGTGTGTGTCGCTGTGTGTGTGTATCACTGTGTGTGTGTGACTGTGCGTGTGTCACTGTGTGTGTGTGTCACTGTGTGTGTGTGTCACTGTGTGTGTGTGTCACTGTGTGTGTCACTGTGTGTGTCACTGTGTGTGTGTGTCACTGTGTGTCACTGTGTGTGTCACTGTGTGTCACTGTGTGTGTCACTGTGTGTGTCACTGTGTCACTGTGTGTGTGTCACTGTGTGTGTCACTGTGTGTCACTGTGTGTGTGTGTCACTGTGTGTGTGTGTCACTGTGTGTGTGTGTCACTGTGTGTGTCACTGTGTGTGTCACTGTGAATGTATGTGTGTGTGTGTCACTGTGTGTGTGTGTCACTGTGTGTCACTGTGTGTGTGTCACTGTGTGTGTGTCACTGTGTGTATGTGTCACTGTGTGTGTCACTGTGTGTGTGTGTCACTGTGTGTGTCACTGTGTGTGTGTGTCACTGTGTGTGTGTGTGTCACTGTGTGTGTCTGTGTGTGTGTTTGTGTCACTGTGTGTGTCACTGTGTGTGTCACTGCAGGATGGAGCCCTGTGTGGAGGAGCTGGATGGGGGCATGGCCGTCGTTAAGACAGAACGTGGTCACGAGGTGTGGAGACATCACCACCATCATCATCACCACCATAACCACCATCATCATCACCATCATCATCACCACCATCACCACAATAACCATCATTACCACCATCATCACCACTATCATCACCACCATCATCACCACCATCATCACCACCATCATCATCATCACTACCATCATCATCACTACCATCATCACCACCATCATCATCGCCATCATCACCACCATCATCACCACCATAACCACCATAACCATCATCACCATCATCATCGCCATCATCACTACCATCATCACCACCATCATCATCACCACTATCATCACCATGATCACCACCATCATCACCTAGCCTGGCACAGCAGCAGTACAACCCATGGCACCTGCAGGGTCTGTCCCGTGACCTCCTCCTCATGCACCTAGCTTGGTACAGCAGCAGTACAACCCATGATTTAAACCGGTCCGGGGCATGCCCTAGGTCGACTCAGCCTCAAGTGAGAACCTGGTTCTGTAAAATCATTGCCAGCACAGGGGAGAAACAAGACGGCGTGGTGGTGGTGGTGGTAGCCACCCACCCCTCCCTTTGTGTAGTCACAGTGCCGGTAGCCTCCATAGGTGGTCACTAACAGCACTTGCCCCTACAGTCTGTTACAGGCTACATGGGGGATCTTTGTCTGTGTTTTTGTGTGTCTGTGTGTGTAGGTGTGTGTGTGTGTGTCTGGGTGTGTGTCAGTTGTGGAGAGAGTGGAGAGTTTCCCATACCTGGGCAGTGTGCTTATGACTGGCTCCAGTTTAACAGCAGAGGTCTCACTCCGAATCAGTCGAGCGGCAATATCTTTTCATCGGTTGCGTAACGCTGTGTGGAAGCTACCTGGTCTGTCGCTCCGCACTAAGCTTCAGGTCTTCTCGGCCACGGTCATTCCCTCCCTTCTCTACGCTTGCGAAACGTGGACCCCCCTAATGGAACATCTTCGCCGTTTAGAAACATTTAGGCTGGCCTGCCTACGATCCATCCTGGGTTTAACCAGACTGGATTGTGTGAGGAGCTCACAAATCCTTGAAAGATCTGGGCAAGGGTCATGTAGCCCGCATGCCCAGCCACCGCATGCCGAAACAGCTTTTGTTCGGCCGGATTGAGGGGGCAAAGCGGGCGCGGCACGGGCTAGAGAAGAGATGGAGTGATGTGGTACAGGAGGACGTGGAGCTGAGTGGACTTGCCGATGACTGGTACCAGCGGTGTCAAGATCGGCCTCTGTGGAGGAGGCTCGTGAAGGACGCTACTGGGCAGTTGGAGGTAGTCGCCCTCCAACAACAACGGAGGGCGGAGGAGCGACGCTCACAACAACGAGCGGAGCGCCGGGTGGCTAAAGCACAGCAGATTGGCACAGTAGGGGGCACAGGTGGTGCATCAGCCAGTCATCTCAGTCAGTCGACCCGTGGGCACCTGGGGCTGCCCCGTGTCCTCCTGCCAGCGGGAGTTCGACACTTCACGTGGCCTCAGGGTGCACATGGCCTGGCACAAGCGTCGTGGTGACGTCACCGCCACTTAGTGGCGAATGGCGGTTGTTGTTGTTGTAGGTGTGTGTGTGTGACTGTGTGTAACTGTGTGTATGTCACTGTGTGTGTAGGTGTGTGTGTGACTGTGTGTGTGACTGTGTGTAACTGTGTAACTGTGTGTGACTGTGTGTGTGACTGTGTGTGATTGTGTGTAACTGTGACTGTGTGTGTAAGTGTGTGTGTGACTGTGTGTAACTGTGTGTGTGTGTAACTGTGTGTGTAACTGTGTGTGTAACTTTGTGTGTGTGTAACTGTGTGGTAACTGTGTGTGTGTAACTGTGTGACTGTGTGTGTGTAGGTGTGTAACTGTGTGTGTAACTGTGTGTGACTGTGACTGTGCGAAACTGTGTGAATGTGTTTGTGTAGGTGTGTGTAGGTGTGTAACTGTGACTGTGTGTAACTGTGAGAGTGTGTGACTGTGTGTAGGTGTGTGTGACTGTGTGTGTAGGTGTGTAACTGTGACTGTGTGTGTAGGTGTGTAACTGTGACTGTGTGTAGGTGTGTAACTGTTTGTGTGTCTGTGTGTGTCTGTGTGTGACTGTGACTGTAGGTGTGCTACCTGCACCAGGCCTGCACGATGATCCCCAGCTTCCTGGCTGAGAGGTTCGGCCCCTCCACTCTGCGCCTCGACGTCAGCTTCAACCTCATCGAGTGGGGACACCCAGCACCACCATCACCACCATCACTAACATCATCACTACCATCACCACCATCACCACCACTACTAACATCACCATCACCACCATCACCACCACTACTACCAGCACCACCATCACCACCACTACTACCAGCACCACCATCACCATCATCACTACCACCACCACCAGCACCACCATCACCACCACTACTACCAGCACCACCATCACCATCATCACCACCACTACTAACATCACTACCAGCACCACCATCACCACCATCACTAACATCATCACTACCATCACTACCATCACCACCATCACCACCACTACTAACATCACTACCAGCACCATCATCACCACCACTACTACCAGCACCACCATCACCACCATCACCATCATCACCACCATCACCACCATCACTAACATCACCATCATCACCATCATCACCATCACTATCATCACCACCATCACCACCATCACCACCATCACCACCACTACTACCAGCACCACCATCACCACCACTACTACCAGCACCACCATCATCACCATCACTATCATCACTACCAGCACCATCATAACTACCATCACTACCAGCACCACCATCACCACCACTACTACCAGCACCACCATCACCATCATCACTACCATCACCATCATCACTACCATCACTACTAACATCACCATCACCACCATCGCCATCACCACTACCATCACTACCATCACCAGCACCACCATCACCACCATCACCACCACTACTAACATCATTACCATCACCACCACTACTAACATCATCACCATCACTACCAGCACCACCATCACCACCATCACCACCACTACTAACATCACCATCACCACCATCACCACCATCACTACCATCACCACCATCACCACCACTACCAGCACCACCAGCCCCACCATCACCACCATCACCACCATCACTACCACTACTAACATCACCATCACCACCATCATCACCATCACTATCATCACTACCAGCACCATCATCACTACCATCACCATCATCACCACCATCACCATCATCACTAACATCATCACTACCAGCACCATCATCACCACCATCTTCATCACTATCTCCACCATCACCACCACTACTAACATCATCACTACCAGCATCACCATCATCACTACCAGCACCACCATCACCACCATCACTACCAGCACCACCATCACCATCATCATTACCATCATCACTACCAGCACTACCATCATCACCATCACTAACATCATCACTACCATCACCATCACCATCATCACTGCCATCACCATCATCACCATCATCACCATCATCACTACCATCACCATCATCACCATCACCACCACCATCACCATCATAACTACCATCACCATCATCACCACCATCACCATCACCACCATCATCACTATCATCACCATCACTACCATCATCATCACTACCATCATCACTACCATCACCATCATCACTACCATCACCATCATCACTACCATCACCACCATCACTACCATCACCACTACCACCACCATCATCACTACCATCACCATCATCACTGCCATCACCATCACCATCATCACCATCACCATCATCACCATCACTACCATCATCATCACTACCATCACTACCATCACCACTACCATCATCACCACCACCACCATCATCACTACCATCACCATCATCACTACCATCATCACCACTACCATCATCACCATCACCACCATCACCACCATCACCATCACTACCATCACTATCATCACCACCATCACCACCATCACTACCATCATCACTACCATCATCACCATCACCACCATCATCACCATCACCACCATCACCAATATCACCACCATCACTACCATCACCACCACTACCATTACCACCACCATCACTACCATCACCATCACTACCATCACCATCACTACCATTACTACCACCATCACCACCACCATCACCACGACTACTAACAGCACTTGCCCCTACAATCTGTTAGAGGCTACACGGGGGATCTTTGTCTGTGTATAGGTGCTACTACTAACAGCACTTGCCCCTACAGCCTGCTAGAAGCTACACGGGGGATCTTTGTCTGTGTATAGGTGCTACTAACAGCACTTGCCCCTACAGCCTGCTAGAGGCTACCTGGGGGATCTTTGTCTGTGTGTAGGTGCTGCTACTAACAACAGCACTTGCCCGTACAGCCTGCTAGAGGCTACACGGGGGATCTTTGTCCGTGTGTAGGTGCTGCTACTAACAGCACTTGCCCCTGCAGCCTGCTAGAGGCTACCTGGGGGATCTTTGTCTGTGTGTAGGTGCTACTACTAACAGCACTTGCCCCTACAGCCTGCTAGAGGCTACACGGGGGACCTTTGCCCGTGTACAGGTGCTGCTACTCTCCACTAACAGCACCACCATCGCCACCACCACTACCACCAACAGCACTTGCCCCTAGTCTGTTTAGAGGCTACACGGGGGACCTTTGCCTGTGTCTGTGTGCTGCGTGACAGCTCCCTGCACGGGCTGGACTCCTTCCCGGCTCTGGAGGAGCTCCTCCTGGACAGTAACGAGCTGACGGAGCACGTTGAGATCCCTGTTCTGCCCTCGCTCCACACGCTCACCATGAACAAGAACAGGATATCCTGTCACCTACATCACCACCGTCATCAACTCATCATCATCATCACCATCATCACCATTATCATCACCATCATCAACTCATCACTATCATCATCATCACCATCAACACCATCAACTCATCACCTCATCACCACCATCATCAACTCATCACCATCATCATGAACTCATCACCACCATCACCACCATCATCACCATCATCAACTCATCACCATCACCACCATCATCACCATCATCATCAACTCATCACCATCACCAATGCGTTCAAACTTTGAATTCTGTTTCAACGATTCTGCACTTATATTCTTGGTTCTTTCGGTAAAGTCACCACCACGTAGAAGGGAAACAATAAAATAAAAAAATATATAAAACAATACCATTCTCACGACGTTTCGACTGCAACACAAGCAATCATCATCAGGTGTGAAAACCACAGAAAGAAAATTTTAAAAAAGAAAAAAATATATAGCTGTGGTTTTCACACCTGCTGATGATTGCTTGTGTTGCAGTCGAAACGTCGTGAGAATTTTATTGTTTTATATTTGTATTATTTTATTGTTTCCCTTCTACCTGGTGGTGACTTTACCGAAAGAACCAAGAATATAAGTGCAGAATCGCTGAAACAGAATTGAAAGTTTGAACGCATTGGTGATGGTGATGAGTTGATGATGATGGTGATGATGGTGGTGATGGTTATGGTGATGAGTTGATGACGGTGATGGTGATGATGGTGGTGATGGTGGTGATGAGTTCATGGTGGTGGTGATGAGGTGATCCCTGCAGTCACAAAAGCTTTCAATCAAGATTCTGCACTTGCTCTATTACTATAGTACTACACCGCCTTCGACTCTTACCAACGACCGGCTTGTTTAAGGTTCGCGATTTGGTCGCAAGTCCCCGGCCGTTTCGCAGGTTAACAAAAATTACAACAACTTTACTGCTTTTATATATTTTATTATTTTATTGTTTCCCTTCAACGTGACTTTACCGAAAGAGCTAAGTATATAACTTACTGCCGTGCAAGGAACAAAATCCGCTCGTTCCGACGTTTCATCTTGGTCGCCTGGAGACGATCAGCTCGTAATTTTTGTCGATCTTATTTGATCGTTTTTCTCCTTCCATCTGCGCGGACTTCACCGAAAGACCCTCAGAGGGCACCAATTCCCTGCGGCTGCGAACGCTTCAAGTCAAGATTCACGGCGGCGGCGGCGGCGACAGGGGTTCATTTTTCGATTGAAAGCTTTCGTGACTGCAAGGATTCATCTTCCGTGGTTCTTTCGGTAAAGTCACCACCACGTAGAATGAGAATAAAATAATAAAATAAAACGATACAATTCTCACGACGTTTCGGCCACAACGCAAGTGGCCTTCTTCAGGTGAAAGGAACAAACCTGTCGGGGACGACAGAGCTTCAATGAACGCTGCTAAGATTCGCAGCGTCTTTTAAGCTGGTTGAGAGAAGTGAGGCACCTTGACAAAGGGATTTACATATCAAACCAGGAGAATTTCAACTGTTTCAATGCTAAATTATCCTGTTTGATATGTAAACCACCTTTGTCAAGGTGCCTCACTTCTCTCAACCAGCTACAATGAACGCTGCGAATCTTAGCAGCGTTCATTGAAGCTCTGTTGTCCCCGACAGGTCTGTTCCTTTCACCTGAAGAAGGCCACTTGTGTTGTGGCCGAAACGTCGTGAGAATTTATTGTTTCATTTTATTATTTTATTCTCATTCTACGTGGTGACTTTACCGAAAGAACCAAAGAAGGGGGTTCATTTATTTATTCATGGACCCCCTTTAGAGCTAAAGCTACGCCCCCCCCCCTCCCTACGCACTGGCGTAAGTCTGTCACCGGCCCTGCCCATTGTACCCCAGCCCCCCACGCAGCCCCCCACAGAGTTACCCCCCTTGACAGCCCACGGGGGGCGTGGCTACCGCACGTGAGGGAACTACGCCCCCTGCTGGAGACGCTGGCGGTGTCAACGCCGGCGCTGCGCTACCTCAGCTTACTCGGGAACGCCGCTTGCCCCAACGAGCTGTCCGGGATGGAGTGGGGAGATGCGGACTATCGGATATACAGGTCAGTCACTCACTGGTACACTCGCTAAGACACTCACGAGGACACTCACTAGTGCACTCACTCACTTGTACACTCACTAGTGCACTCACTCACTAAGACACTCACTCACTAGTACACTCACTCACGAGTAGAATCACTCACTAGTACACTCACTCACTAGTACACTCACTAGTCAGGTCTTCTCGACCACGGTCATTCCCTCCCTTCTCTATGCTTGCGAAATGTGGACCCCCCTAATGGAACATCTTCGCCGGTTAGACACATTTAGGCTGGCCTGCCTACGATCCATCCTGGGTTTAACCAGACTGGATTGTGTGAGGAGCTCACAAATCCTTGAAAGAATCTGGGCACGGTCCCATCGGTGAGCTCCTCCGGCGGGCAAGGCTGGCGATGGCTGGGTCATGTAGCCCGCATGCCCAGCCACCCCATGCCGAAACAGCTTTTGTTCGGCCGGATTGAGGGGCTAAACGGGCGCGGCACGGGCTAGAGAAGAGAATGGAGTGATGTGGTACAGGAGGACGTGGAGCTGAGTGTACTTTGCCGATGACTGGTACCAGCGGTGTCAAGATGGGCCTCTGTGGAGGAGGCTCGTGAAGGACGCTACTGGGCAGTTGGAGGCAGTCGCCCTCCAACAACAACGGAGGGCGGAGGAGCGACGCTTACAACAACGAGCGGAGCGCCGGGTGGCTAAAGTACAGCTGGTTTGCATAGTAGGGGGCACAGGTGGTGCATCAGCCAGTCATCTCAGTCAGTCGACCCGTGGCACCTGGGTCTGCCCCGTGACCTCCTGCCAGCGGGTGTTTCGACACTCCACGTGGCCTCAAGGTGCACATGGCCCTGGCACAAGCATCGTGGTGACGTCACCGTCACTTAGTGGCGAATGGCAGTTGTTGTTGTATCACTGTGTGTGTGTATCACTGTGTGTGTATTACTGTGTGCATATGTGGGTATCACTGTGTGTGTATCACTGTGTGTATCTATCTGTGTATCACTGTGTGTGTGTATCACTGTGTGTGTATCACTGTGTGTGTGTATCTCTACGCTTGCGAAACGTGGATCCCCCTAATGGAACATCTTCGCCGGTTAGAAACATTTAGGCTGGCCTGCCTACGATCCATCTTGGGTTTAACCAGACTGGATTGTGTGAGGAGATCACATATCCTTGAAAGATCTGGGCAAGGTCTCATCGGTGAGCTCCTCCGGTGGGCAAGGCCGCGATGGCTGGGTCATGTAGCCCGCATGCCCAGCCACCGCATGCCGAAACAGCTTTTGTTCGGCCGGATCGAGGGGGCTAAATGGGCGCGGCACAGGCTAGAGAAGAGATGGAGTGATGTGGCACAGGAGGACGTGGAGCTGAGTGGACTTGCCGATGACTGGTACCAGCGGTGTCAAGATCGGCCTCTGTGGAGGAGGCTCGTGAAGGACGCTACTGGGCAGTTGGAGGTAGTCGCCCTCCAACAACAACGGAGGGCGGAGGAGACGACACTCACAACAACGAGCGGAGCGGCCGGGTGGCTAAAGCACAGGAGGTTGGCACAGTAGGGGGCACAGGTGGTGCATCAGCCAGTCATCTCAGTCATCTCAGTCAGTCGACCCGTGGCACCTGGGTCTGCCCTGTGACCTCCTGCTAGCGGGCGTTCGACACTTCACGTGGCCTCAAGGTGCACATGGCCTGGCACAAGCGTCGTGGTGATGTTACCGCCACTTAGTGGCGAATGGCGGTTGTTGTTGTTGTGTGTATCACTCTATGTGTGTCACTGTGTGTATGTATGACTGTGTGTATGACTGTGTGTGTGTCAAGGGTGCGGTCAAGGGATGGCTCCCTATTGCTCAACCACGTTATGTATCCCGATGATTTGGTAATAGCTGCTCATTCAGAGGAGGAGTTGGAGACGCTGCTGCTGAGGCTGGAGCGTGCCACTAAGAGGTGGGGCCTTACCATCAGCCCCACCAAAACTAAGCACCTGCCTGGGTATTTTGTACCATCGGACACTCCACCCCCACAACTCCCAATCGGTGATGGGGCAGTTGTGGAGAGAGTGGAGAGTTTCACATATGTGGGCAGTGTGCTTATGACTGGCTCTGGTTTAACAGCAGAGGTCTAACTCCGAATCAGTCGAGCGGCAATATCTTTTCATCGGTTGCGTAACGCTGTGTGGAAGCTACCTGGTCTGTCGCTCCGCACTAAGCTTCAGGTCTTCTCGGCCATGTCATTCTCTCCCTTCTCTACGCTTGCGAGGCGTGGACCCCCCTGGTGAAGCATCTTCGCCGGTTGAAGCATTTGGGCTGGCCTGCCAACGATCCATCTGGGTTTGACCGGCTGGATTGTGTGAGGAGCTCACAAATCCTTGAAAGATCTGGACAAAGTTCCATCGGCGAGCTCCTCCGGCAGGCAAAGCTGTGTTGGCTGGGTCATGTAGCCCGCGTGCCCCGGCCACCGCATGCCGAAACAGCTTTTGTTCGGCCGGATTGAGGGGGCTAAACGGACGCGGCACGGGCTAGAGAAGAGATGGAGTGATGTGGTACAGGAGGACGTGGAGTTGAGTGGACTTGCCGATGACTGGTACCAGCGGTGTCAAGATCAGCCTCTGTGGATGAGGCTCGTGAAGGACGCTGCTACTGTTGGAGGCAGTCGCCCTCCAACAACAACGGAGGGCGGAGGAGCGATGCTCACAACAACGAGCAAAGCGCCGGGTGGCATAAGCACAGCAGGTTGGCACAGTAGGGGGCACAGGTGGTGCATCAGCCAGTCATCTCAGTCAGTCGACCCGTGGCACCTGGGTCTGCCCCGTGACCTCCTGCCAGCGGGCGTTCGACACTCCACGTGGCCTCAAGGTGCACATGGCCTGGCACAAGCATCGTGGTGACGTCACCGTCACTTAATGGCGAATGGCAGTTGTTGTTGTTGTATCACTGTGTGTGTGTCTATCTGTGTGTGTGTCACTGTGTGTGTGTATCTGTGTGTGTGTATCTATCTGTGTGTGTGTGTATCTGTGTGTGTGTATCTGTGGCTGTGTGTCTATGTGTGTGTATCTATCTGTGTGTGTGTCACTGTGTGTGTGTGTATCACTGAGTGGGGAGCGGTAGTGTAGCGGTTAGCTGCGCTGCGCTATGAACCTGGCGACCCGGGTTCGATTCCCGCTCACGGCCAATACCAGGTGACGATTATCTGAACCGGTCCCGGGCCTCCCCTAGGTCGACTCAGCCTCAATGAGTACCTGGTGCGGTGTGTAATATCGCCACTAGGGAGACAAAGGCGGTCGGGCGTGGTGCTGGCCACCCACCCCTTCGTGTGCCGTTCCAGCCTTCATAGGTGCTCGCTACCAGCACTTGCCCCAACAGTCTGTTAAGGCTATATGGGGGATCTTTGTCTTTTTTTGTATCTGTGTGTCTATGTGTGTGTATCTGTGTCTGTGTGTGTGTCACTGTGTGTGTGTGTCTGTGTGTCACTGTGTGTGTATCACTGTGTGTCTATTTGTGTGTAGCTGTGTCTGTGTGTGTGTCACTGTGTGTGTGTCTGTGTGTGTCACTGTGTGTGTATCTGTGTCTGTGTGTGTGTATCTGTGTGTGTGTATCTGTGTCTGTGTGTGTATCACTGTGTGTATCACCGTGTGTCTATGTGTGTGTATCTGTGTCTGTGTGTGTCACTGTGTGTGTATCTGTGTGTGTGTATCTGTGTGTGTGTATCTGTGTCTGTGTTTGTATCACTGTGTGTATCACCGTGTGTCTATGTGTGTGTATCTGTGTCTGTGTGTGTGTCACTGTGTGTGTATCTGTGTCTGTGTGTGTTTCACTGTGTGTGTCTATCTGTATGTGTGTCCCTGTGTGTGTATCACTGTGTGTATCTGTGTGTGTATCACTGTGTGTGTATCACTGTGTGTGTATCACTGTATGTGTATCACTGTGTGTCTATGTGTGTGTGTCTGTCTCTAGGTGTGCTGTAGTGAAGGCTCTGCCCGGACTGCGCTTCTTGGACGCTCTCCCCGTGACGAAGGCCGAGCGGAGGGAAGCGGAGAGGCTGGGGCCGGTGAGTAGTGAAGTGTGTAGTCTAGTGTATAGTGTGGTGTAGTGTGTAGTGTAGTGTATAGTCTAGTGTATAGTGTAGTGTATAATAGTAGTATAGTGTAGTGTATTGTGTAGTGTAGTGTGTAGTGTAGTGTGAGTGTGGTAGTATGGGGAGTGTAGTAGTTAGCGCTATGCTGCGCCCTCCGTTGTTGTTGGAGGGCGACTACCTCCAACTGCCCAGTAGCGTCTTTAACGAGCCTCCTCCACAAAGGCCGATCTTGACACCGCTGGTACCAGTCATCGGCAAGTCCACTCAGCTCCACGTCCTCCTGTACCACATCTCTTCTCTAGCCCGTGCCGCGCCCGTTTAGCCCCCTCGATCCGGCCGAACAAAAGCTGTTTCGGCATGCGGTGGCTGGGCATGCGGGCTACATGACCCAGCCATCGCAGCCTTTCCTGCGGGAGGAGCTCACCGATGGGACCTTGCCCAGATCTTACAAGGATTTGTGAGCTCCTCACACAATCCAGCCTGGTTAAACCCAGGATGGATCGTAGGCAGGCCAGTCTGAATGTTTCTAACCGGCGAAAATGTTCCATTAAGGGGGTCCACGTTTCGTAGAGAAGGGAACAACGTGTTGGTAATTACAAGCCCATGGGCTGCACAAAAATCTAGCAGCCTCCTACCGTTGTTATTGAGCTGATCTCGCCCATGTCCTCTAATCACTCCAGACCAGGTGCCAGCATCATGACTACCTCGGGCATTGAAGTCACCCAACAAGATGGCTCTGTCCCGTGGGGCCACTTTAGCCAGCACCTGTGACAGGAGGTCATAGAAGGCATCTGACTCATCGGATTTGCCTGCATTCCTCCACGGATGTTCGTCTTCGGTGGGGGACATAAGTAACCACGACCACCACTCCTCGCCTCCGGTTGATGGGAAGGCGAGCCCAAAGTAGCCTTGGGCTTACAGCTTCCCACACCTCACCGCCACGCTCCCACGCCCCCTTCATTATTTTGTTCAAAAGAAGAGCCACACCCTGTTGTTTGGCAGTCTGCTGCCCCGAGTAGAGACTGTCCACCCCTCATGGTGGCAGGAGCCAGAACCGGTCCACCGGACCTCCTGAATGCCACAGAGATCCAGGCGGTACCGGTCCAGCTCCCGACAGAGGAGTGGCAGCCTCTCCTCCGCAGTGAGCGTTCGAACATTCCATGTGGCCACACGAAGTGGCTTTTTCGTTGTTTTCTGGAGGACCCCCGAGGGTAGAGATTCAATCTCCTGGCTCCGCCAATTGGGGTTTGGCCAGGAGACGTCATAGACGCCTGTCCCCCCGGGGGACTCCAGCACAAGCTTATTAGTTATATATTTCAGTCGTGGTTTAGTGGTAAATTTTTGAAGGTGGAGGGGTTACCAGCCCCTCACACCCGTCCAGAGCCCCCGTTAGCCCTGTGGTGGTCACAGACGCCATGAGGGGAGGAGCCAATCGGAATTGGCCCTCCCCCCACAGCACTGTCCACGACAGAGTTGCCCGTCCGGCACCGCGAGGAGGTAGGAGGTTGTTTTGCCAGACATACACACACACACACAGACACACACACACACAGACACACACACAGACACACACACACAGACACACACACACAGACACACACACACAGCGACATACAGTAACACAGACACCGGCGGGATCCCCAAGCGCTTGTCTGTGTGTCTGTGTGTGTGTGTCTGTGTGTGTGTGTGTCTGTGTGTGTGTCTGTGTGTGTGTGTCTGTGTGTGTGTTTGTGTGTGTCTGTCTGTGTGTGTGTGTCTGTGTGTGTGTGTCTGTGTGTGCGTCTGTGTGTGTGTCTGTGTGTGTGTGTGTGTCTGTGTGTGTGTGTTTGTGTCTGTGTGTGTGTGTCTGTGTGTCTGTGTGTGTCTGTATGTGTGTCTGTGTGTGTCTGTGTGTGTCTGTGTCTCTGTGCCATGGTGCAAGTGCAGCGGATAGACAAGGAGGAGGAGGCAGCGGTGGTGGTGCAGACAGAGAGACAGAGACGGACAGAAAGACAGCGCGGTCCGTACTCACCGCTGCCGGCCTCACAGCGACAACCCTCCGACCACAAAGGTACCGCGCAGAGAGACAGAGAGACACAGTGAGAGACACAGTGAGAGACACAGAGAGACACAGTGAGACACAGTGAGACAGAGAGACACAGTGAGACAGTGAGACACATTGAGACACAGTGAGAGACAGAGACACAGTGAGACACACAGAGACAAAGATAAGGACAAAGATCCCCCCGTATAGCCTTAACAGACTGTAGGGGCAAGTGCTGTTAGCGAGCACCTATGAAGGCCGGAACGGTACACGAGGGGGTTGGTGGCCAGCACCACGCCCGACCGCCCTTTGTCTCCCCAAGTGGCGATGTTTACACACCGCACCAGGTGCTCATTTGAGGCTGGAGTCGACCTAGGTGGAGGACCGGGACCGGTTCAGATAATCGTCACTGGTTTTGGCCGTGAGCGGGAATCGAACCCGGGTCGCCAGGTTCGTAGCGCGCGTAGCGCTGACCGCTACACTATCGCTCCCCACAGTGAGACACAGACACAGTGAGACAAAGAGAGACACAGTGAGACACAGAGATACAGAGACACAGTGAGACACAGAGACACACAGTGAGACACAGAGACACACAGTGAGGACACAGAGAGACACAGTGAGAGGACAGAGAGAGACACAGAGAGACACAGAGAGACAGAGAACACGTGAGACACAGAGACACACAGTGAGACACAGAGACACACAGTGAGACACAGAGAGACACAGTGAGAGACAGAGAGAGACACAGAGAGACACAGAGACACAGACACACAGAGAGACACAGTGAGACACAGAGACACACAGAGAGACACAGAGACACACAGTGAGACACAGTGAGACACAGTGAGACACAGAGACACAGTGAGACACAGTGAGACAGAGAGACACAGTGAGACACAGAGAGACCCAGTGAGACACAGAGACACACAGAGAGACACAGAGACACACAGTGAGACACAGAGACACACAGAGAGACATAGAGACACAGTGAGACACAGAGACACAGTGAGACACAGTGAGACACAGAGAGACACAGAGAGACACAGTTAGACACAGAGAGACGCAGTGAGACACAGTGAGACACAGAGACACAGAGAGACACAGAGACACAGAGAGACAGTGAGACACAGAGACACAGAGAGACACAGAGACACAGTGAGACAGAGAGACACAGTGAGACACAGAGAGACACAGTGAGACACAGAGACACACAGTGAGACACAGAGACACAGAGAGAGAGACAGAGATACACAGTGAGACACAGAGACACAGAGAGACACAGAGAGACACAGTGAGACACAGTGAGACACAGAGAGACACAGTGAGACACAGAGACACACAGAGACACACAGAGAGACACAGAGACACAGTGAGACACAGAGACACACAGAGAGACACAGAGACACACAGAGAGACAGAGAGACACACAGAGAGACAGAGAGACACAGTGAGACACAGAGACACAGTGAGACACAGAGAGACACAGTGAGACATCAGAGAGACAAGTTGGGTGAAGGATGTTTACTGGTGCCAGGCTCGGTGCACCGTTCTTACCTCACCTCCACCCCACCCCTTCTCCCCCCTTCCCCCCCCCTCATCCCACCCCCTTCTGCACCCCTCCCCCCCCCTCTCCCTCCCCCCCTTCTCCCTCCCCCCCTTCCCCCCCCCCCCTCTTCCCTCCCCCCCTTCCCCCCCTCTCCCTCCCCCCCTCTCCCCCTCCCCCCCCCTCCCCCCCTCTCCCTCCCCCCCCCTTCTCCCCCCCTCTCCCCCCTCTCCCTCCCCCCCTTCTCCCCCCCTCCCCCGTGCTGAGTGTAGGGGTGATGGCTCACTGCCGCTACATCTACCAGGGCAGGCAGTCAGAGGGAAACCGTTTCATCTACGACGGGGACCTGTGACTCATTCACTCACTCATTCATTCACTCACTCATTTAGTCATTCACTCATTCATTCACTCACTCACTCATTCACTCATTCACTCACTCATCCACTCACTCACTCACTTAGTCATTCACTCATTCACTCACTCACTCACTCATTCATTCACTCATTCACTCACTCACTCATTCACTCACTTAGTCATTCACCCATTCACTCACTCACTCATTCACTCACTCACTCATTCACTCACTCATTCACTCACTTAGTCATTCACTCATTCACTCACTTATTCATTCACTCACTCACTCATTCACTCACTCATTCACTCACTTAGTCATTTACTCATGCACTCACTCACTCATTCACTCATTTAGTCATTCACTCATTCACTCATTCATTCACTCACTCATTCACTCACTCATTCATTCACTCATTCACTCACTCATTCACTCACTTAGTCATTCCCTCATTCACTCACTCATTCACTCACTCACTCATTCATTCACTCACTCATTCACTCACTCATTCATTCACTCACTCATTCACTCACGCATTCACTCACTTAGTCATTCCCTCATTCACTCACTCATTCACTCACTCATTCACTCACTTATTCACTCACTCATTCACTCACTTAGTCATTTACTCATTCATTCACTCATTCACTCATTCATTCACTCACCCATTCATTCACTCACTCATTCACTCATTCACTCACTTAGTAATTTACTCTTTCACTCACTCATTCACTCATTCATTCACTCACTCATTCACTCACTCATTCACTCACTTGGTAATTTACTCATTCACTCACTCATTCACTCACTCATTCACTCACTCATTCACTCACTCGCTCATTCACTCACTAAGTCACTCACTCATTCACTCACTCATTCACTCACTCATTCACTCGCTCATTCAATCACTCATTCACTCACTCATTCACTCACTCATTCACTCACTCATTCACTCACTCATTCACTCATTCACTCACTTATTCACTCACTCATTCACTCACTCGATCACGCATTCACTCACTCATTCACTCACTCATTCACTCAGTCACTCACTTAGTCATTTACTCATTCACTCACTCATGCACTCATTCACTCACTCAGTCATTCACTCACTCAGCCATTCACTCACTCACACAGCCCGATGTCCCCAAACCTGAATCGTGTTTTAAAAAACATTTTTGAAAAACGTCTCTCGTGTCATGCGTTACAGACGAGCTGTACTAGCTCTACTAGCTGTACTAGCTGTATGAGCTGTGTGAGCTGTACTAGCTGTACTAGCTGTGTGAGCTGTACTAGCTGTACTAGCTGTGTGAGCTGTACTAGCTGTACTAGCTGTGTGAGCTGTACTAGCTGTGTGAGCTGTGTGAGCTGTACTAGCTGTACTAGCTGTGTGAGCTGTACTAGCTCTACTAGCTGTACTAGCTCTACTAGCTGTACTAGCTGTGTGAGCTGTACTAAATGTACTAGCTGTGTGAACTGTACTAGCTGTACTAGCTGTGTGAGCTGTACTAGTTCTACTAGCTGTACTAGCTCTACTAGCTGTACTAGCTCTACTAGCTCTACTAGCTGTGTGAGCTGTACTAGCTCTACTAGCTGTACTAGTTCTACTAGCTGTGTGAGCTGTACTTGCTGCACTAGCTGTGTGAGCTCTACTAGCTGTACTAGCTCTACTAGCTGTGTGAGCTGTACTTGCTGCACTAGCTGTGTGAGCTGTACTAGCTGTACTAGCTCTACTAGCTGTGTGAGCTGTACTAGCTGTACTAGCTCTACTAGCTGTACTAGCTGTACTAGCTCTACTAGCTGTGTGAGCTGTACTTGCTGCACTAGCTGTGTGAGCTGTACTAGCTGTACTAGCTCTACTAGCTGTGTGAGCTGTACTTGCTGCACTAGCTGTGTGAGCTGTACTAGCTGTACTAGCTCTACTAGCTGTGTGAGCTGTACTTGCTGCACTAGCTGTGTGAGCTGTACTAGCTGTACTAGCTCTACTAGCTGTGTGAGCTGTACTAGCTGTACTAGCTGTGTGAGCTGTACCAGCTGTACTAGCTCTACTAGCTGTACTAGCTGTGTGAGCTGTACTAGCTCTACTAGCTCTACTAGCTGTGTGAGCTGTACTAGCTGTACTAGCTGTGTGAGCTGTACTAGCTGTACTAGCTGTACTAGCTGTGTGAGCTGTACTAGCTGTGTGAGCTGTACTAGCTGTGTGAGCTGTACTAGCTGTGTGAGCTGTGTGAGCTGTACTAGCTGTACTAGCTGTGTGAGCTGTACTAGCTGTTACTAGATGTGTGAGCTGCACTAGCTGTACTAGCTGTACTAGCTGTGTGAGCTGTATTAGCTGTACTAGCTGTGTGAGCTGTACTAGCTGTGTGAGCTGTACTAGCTGTACTAGCTGTGTGAGCTGTACCAGCTGTACTAGCTGTGTGAGCTGTACTAGCTGTACTAGCTGTGTGAGCTGTACTAGCTGTGTGAGCTGTACTAGCTGTGTGAGCTGTACTAGCTGTACTAGCTGTGTGAGCTGTACCAGCTGTACTAGCTGTGTGAGCTGTACTAGCTGTACTAGCTGTGTGAGCTGTACTAGCTGTTGTGAGCTTGTACTAGCTGTACTAGCTGTGTGAAACTGTACTAGCTTGTACTAGCTGTGTGAGCTGTACTAGCTGTGTGAGCTGTACTAGCTGTACTAGCTGTGTGAGCTGTACTAGCTGTACTAGCTGTGTGAGCTGTACTAGCTGTACCAGCTGTACTAGCTGTGTGAGCTGTACTAGCTGTACTAGCTGTGTGAGCTGTACTAGCTGTGTGAGCTGTACTAGCTGTACTAGCTGTACTAGCTGTGTGAGCTGTACTAGCTGTACTAGCTGTGTGAGCTGTACTACCTGTACTAGCTGTACTAGCTCTACTAGCTGTGTGAGCTGTACTAGCTGTGTGAGCTGTACTAGCTGTACTAGCTGTGTGAGCTGTACTAGCTGTACTAGCTGTGTGAGCTGTACTAGCTGTACTAGCTGTGTGAGCTGTACTAGCTGTGTGAGCTGTACTAGCTGTACTAGTTGTCCTAGCTGAGTGAGCTGTACTAGCTCTACTAGCTGTGTGAGCTGTACTAGCTGTACTAGCTCTACTAGCTGTGTGAGCTGTACTAGCTCTAATAGCTCTACTAGCTGTGTGGAGCTGTACTAGCTGTATTAGCTGTACTAGCTGTGTGAGCTGTACTAGCTCTACAAGCTGTACTAGCTGTACTAGCTGTGTGAGCTGTACTAGCTTGTACTAGCTGTGTGAGCTGTACTAGCTGTACTAGATGTACTAGCTGTACTAGCTCTACTAGCTGTGTGAGCTGTACTCGCTGTACTAGCTGTGTGAGCTGTACTAGCTGTACTAGCTCTACTAGCTGTGTGAGCTGTACTAGCTGTACTAGCTGTGTGAGCTGTACTAGCTGTACTAGCTGTCTGAGCTGTACTAGCTGTACTAGCTGTGTGAGCTGTACTAGCTGTACTAGCTGTACTAGCTGTGTGAGCTGTACTAGCTGAACTAGCTGTGTGAGCTGTACTAGCTGTACTAGCTGTGTGAGCTGTACTAGCTGTGTGAGCTGTACTAGCTGTACTAGCTGTGTGAGCTGTACTACCTGTACTAGCTGTACTAGCTCTACTAGCTGTGTGAGCTGTACTAGCTGTACTAGCTGTGTGAGCTGTACTAGCTGTACTAGCTGTGTGAGCTGTACTAGCTGTACTAGCTGTACTAGCTGTGTGAGCTGTACTAGCTGTGTGAGCTGTACTAGCTGTACTAGCTGTGTGAGCTGTACTAGCTGTACTAGCTGTGTGAGCTGTACTAGCTGTACTAGCTGTGTGAGCTGTACTAGCTGTGTGAGCTGTACTAGCTGTACTAGCTGTGTGAGCTGTACTAGCTTTACTAGCTCTACTAGCTGTACTAGCTGTACTAGCTGTGTGAGTTGTACTAGCTGTACTAGCTGTGTGAGCTGTACTAGCTGTACTAGCTCTACTAGCTGTGTGAGCTGTACTAGCTCTTCTAGCTGTACTAGCTGTGTGAGATGTACTAGCTGTACTAGCTGTGTGAGCTGTACTAGCTGTAGTAGCTGTGTGAGCTGTACTAGCTGTACTAGCTGTGTGAGCTGTACTAGCTCTTCTAGCTGTACTAGCTCTACTAGCTGTACTAGCTGTACTAGCTGTATGAGCTGTACTAGCTGTACTAGCTCTACTAGCTCTACTAGCTGTGTGAGCTGTACTAGCTGTACTAGCTGTACCAGCTGTTCTAGCTCTACTAACTGTACTAGCTGTACTAGCTCTACTAGCTCTACTAGCTGTGTGAGCTGTACTAGCTGTGTGAGCTGTACTAGCTCTACTCACCCGGCTTCGCCAGGGTGGTTGGATTCACCACACCCGCCGCCTTTGTCTCCCCAGTGGCGATGTTCACACACCGCACCAGTTACTCGTTTGAGGCTGAGTCGACCTAGTGGAGGCCCAGGATCGGTTAAAATAATCGTCACCGGTGGTGGCCGTGAGCGGGAATCGAACTCGGGTCGGCGGGTTCGTAGCGCGGCGTAGCGCTAACCGCTACACTATCGCTCCCCCCACAGTCACACACACAGACACACAAAGACAAAGATAAAGATCCCCCGTATAGCCTTAACAGACTGTAGGGGCAAGTGCTGTTAGCGAGCACCTATGAAGGCCGGAACGGTACACGAGGGGGTGGGTGGCCAGCACCACGCCCGACCGCCTTTGTCTCCCTAGTGGCGATGTTTACACACCGCACCAGGTACTCATTTGAGGCTGAGTCGACCTAGGGGAGGCCCGGGACCGGTTCAGATAATCGTCACTGGTGTTGGCCGTGAGCGGGAATCGAACCCGGGTCGCCAGGTTCATAGCGCAGCGCGCTAACCGCTACACACACAGACACACACACACAGACACACACACAGACACACACAGACAGATACACACACACAGACACAGTCACACACAGACACACAGACACACACACACAGAGACACACAGACAG